ATAGATAGATAGATAGATAGATAGATAGATAGATAGATAGATAGATAGATAAGATAGATGATGGATGGATGGATGGATAGATGATAGATAGACAGACAGACAGACAGACAGATAGATAGATAGATAGATAGATAGAAAGAAAGAAGCCATTGACACCCCTTCTCAACTAAAAAACTCAGCATAAAGTTTAATAGAGGCCTTGAAATGATTTTTGTATTCAGTTAATTATTTTACACTAATAATGTTTTAAGGATCCATATTTGGGACTTGACCAAGCTGCTCAAGAGGAAGGTCTAGCAAAGAAAAAAATCATTTAAAAAGGAAAAATTAAAGCTCCTTTCACTGAGCATTCATGGCCCCAAAATAATGAAACCGGAAATCTCCAAGGAAGAATCACCTATTTCCAGTTGTGTTCCAGAGTGGCTCTAATTTCAACAAACAACTTTTAGGTTCCAGAGATGGCATCTCACTTTCAAGATGAATAGATATTGATTCATAGATTTTAGTCTAGTTCTGGCGGCGGGAGGGGGAGACAGTGGTACCATATTCACCTGAATGGCCAACAGCCTCCCATCAAGACTTTCCTGCCTCCGTTATGAGATTTTTCAGTATATTTCTCGCCTATTTAAAAGCTAAATTACTAGGGATAAATCTATATATATAAAAGCCAAATATCAACCACTCATCGCAAAATCTCCAGGACCGTAAAGCCTACAAACTTGAAATTTGACACATATGTTCCTCTTGGCTTCCAAGTGCTCGCTAAGAAAGGATTTTTCGAAATGACCATACTGGTCATCGAGCTACATGCGTAGCTGGCCGGTGCAAGTACATGCGCCTGCAGGTATGGCCCCACTTGAACGAGCATTGTGGCAAACACCGCGGGAGCTCGTAGCCCACTTACATGAGCATTGTGGCAAGTGCTCTTAGCCGGCCTCGCAACCCCATTCACAAGCATCATCGCAGGGAGTCTCCCCATTTGCGTAACTGTCGTTGTGGGTGCTCACGGCCCCACTCATGCACAAGCATCATTGCAGGTGCTTGTGGCCCCATTCGTACAAGAGTTATTATGGGCACATGCAGTCCTACTCGCGCAGGCACACACAGTCCATTCGTGTGAGCGTCACCACGAGTATCGTGGATACCAGTGGTGGGATTCAAATAATTTAACAACCAGTTCTCTGTCCTAATGACCATCTGGGTAGGTGGGGCTCGGTGATCATGTGACTGGGTGGGCGTGACCAACTCAAGGTCACTCAGGTCGATGGGCGCTTCGCCTTAGCTGTTACAATGGTAATAGGGGTTAACTGGAGAGGCAGTTTCTGTAAGCAGGTCAATAAAGATTAGGCTAGAAACAACACCAGAATGTTTCCTCCCTGCCTTCCTTACAGGATTAGCCCTGTAAAGGGGGGGGACACAAAAGGAGATTTCTTCCAACAACCGGTTCTCCCAACTGCTTAGAAAGTTACCAACCGGTTCTCCCA